TCCCTTCCCCCTTTCCCCCCCCCCACCCCAACCCCACCCCCACCTCCGCCTCTCCGCCCTTGTCCCCCCCTAAGGTCGTAACGGCCAACAACCTAGAGAGTTTTTCCTACGGTGAACTTGTCGATTTTCACGAGCAGATGGTTTTTACGAGCTGCCTGTTAGAGAAATATCCGATTACAGAGGCGGCGGCATCGTCACCAGCGCTTCAGTCGTGAGGAGGAGATAGGTTATCAGGACAAGGAGATCAGCAAATGGGCGTGGGTATGGTAGCCCGATACGTCTGCCAGGCATCAGGGTACGTGTCTGTGCGCTAAGGAGCTTGGGGATGATTTCATAACTAGGAAAATAACTTGAATGAAATGCGAGGTTTAGGAAGATTTGTCTATTTTATTGCGATTGGTTGATAAGCTAATTTTGCGTTGAGTGTTTTTTTTTTCTTTCTCTTTCTCTCTCTCTTTCTTCACTCTCTCTCTCTCTCTCTCTCTCTCTCTCTCTCTCTCTCTCTCTCTCTCTCTCTCTCTCTCTCTCTCTCATCTCTCTCTCTCTCTCTCCCTCTCTCTCTCTCTCTCTCTCTCTCTCTTCTATCTATCTATCTATCTATCTCTATCTATCTATCTCTCTCTTTCTCTTTCTCTCTCTCTCTCTCTCTCTCTCTCTCTCTCTCTTCCTCTCTCTCTCTCTTCTCTCTCTCTCTCTCTCTTCTCTCTCTCTCTCTCTCTCTCTCTCTCTCTCTCTCTCTCTCTCTAATATTCTTAAGACTCGAAGTTTTTTTTCCAAATTAAAATTTCCACGTAATCCTGACTTCAAATATCGAACGTAACTTCTAAGAATTATTTTGATGTCTTAGTTCTGATGAAAGAGTCAATTCAGGAAAGCAAGTCGGATATGTTCGCTAACAACATCATGAATATCTGAATCATCTTAATCGTGAGGTTGATATGTAATCATTAATCTTGCAGCGCAATATTAGCTTATTTCTTATTTTCTTTTCCCTTCCTCCGTCCCCTGTTTACTCTCGCTCATTTACTCTGGCGTACTGTACGCGTTCCTTTTACTCTACTGTAATCTACCTTTCCTTATCCTTGCTCTGCCCTACCCAACCCTATTTTGCCCTCCCCTGCCTGCCCTTGCCCTGCCCTACCCAACCTTTCCCTTCCCTCCCCCCTCCTCTCCTCCTCCCTCCCTCTTTCCGTAGCTGTTCCTATCCCCACCTCCCCAGCTGTTCACCTCCCCCAGTTCCCTTCCCCCACCCTCCCTAGCTATTCCCCTCCCCACCCCTCCCCAGCTGTTCCCGCTCCCCACCCCTCCCTCAGCTGTTCCCCTCCCACCCCTCCCCACCCACCCTCCCCAGTTGTTTCCCCTCCCCACCCCACCCCGCAGCTTTCCCTCCCCACCCTCCCAGCTGTTCCCCCCCAGCTGTTCCCCTCCCCACCCCCCCTCCCCACCCCTCCCCACCACCCTCCCCAGTTTTCCCTCCCCAGCTGTTCCCCCCCTACCCCTCCTCAGCTGTTCCCCCCACCCCCACCCCCCCAGCTGTTCCCCTCCCCACCCACCCCTCAGCTGTTCCCCACCCCACCCCACCCCTCCCCCGCATTTCAAAACAAACTCTACATGAAGCGTTTTCCTTTTTATTTTATTTTTTTTTTTTATTGAAACACCAACACCATCCACGCTGAAAGCACAATATCCACAGGAGGTCAGGAGTAGGAAGCCATGAATCATACGCGTCGTGTGTCTAAACGAGTTTCCCAGGAATTTCCAAAAAAGGATTTGTGGAGCTGAAATCTGGGCTTCGGATTTTGTGCTTATTCTGATTTGCGGTCATTTAGGGTTTGTTAGGTCTTATTTATGTATGTTTGTGTATATGTGGATATGAATATAAATGTATATGTGTGTGTGTTGTGTGTGTGTGTGTCTGCATATATATATATATATATATATATATATATATATATATATATATATATATATATATATATATTGAAAATGAAAACAGCTGCAATAAGATATGAAAAACGTTACGTTTAAACTCTCCACGAGTTCTTATTCAGACGAATGATTAACCGAAATGGATTCATTTCGTCTTTTTTCATATCCTTTTGTGGCTGTTTTCAATTTCATTCTTGCATTACATGTGACTGTGTTTGTGCTTGTGTCCATACATATATATATATATATAATATATATATATATATATATATATATATATATATATATATATATATATAATATATATATATATATATATATATATATATATATATATATATATATATATATATATTATATATATATATATATATATATAATATTATACAATAATGTATCTTAAGTATGTATATAACATTTCAGTTCAGATTCACCTCATATTGACCTGTACAGTTAAGTTAGTATGGGATGCCGGTTTTCATTTAAAATTGAAATATAAATGATATCCGAAATATATTCAGATTCTGTGAGAATATTGCCACAAAATTAAAATTAAAAAAATGCACATGCATGAAACAGTAGCATGGACCATTCATAACTTTTTCATGCGATATAAACTTCACTCGGTATTTATGACTTGCTGTATATGCATGTGGATTTTCACGGAAATGAAAAGTTTGCTTGGAAGCAACAGGTATTTTCGGGAAATGCTGAATCATTCAAATCCTTTGGTTTATATACAGATCGCGTGTTTTCATGTTACATTTGACGGGGGGGGGGGTAGATGTTCAAATGGATGTTAATCTGAGAACATAATCCTTCGGCTTTCAGGATTTACGAATTTATCGAAATCCCATCGACCCCCCCTCCCCCCCCAGGCAGCGCTCATATCAGCCTTGCCGAATACCGGCCTTTGACATGAACG